GCTACTCCGGCGAGCTGCTATTTAGTCTCGTTCTCGTTTTCTTTTTTGTTTTTAGTTTTTAGTTACACGAGCTTATATACTATTACTGCACTTTCGGTTTGTTCTCTTTTATTAATTTGCAATTTCTATGAATTTTCTAGTTTATATTATTCTATTTACTTTATTCATTTAGTGTTCATTTCAATTTCTATTATTTAATTATTTAGAATTTTTATTTTATTCTAATACTACTTAGTTTTCGTTTTCAATTCATCTCTTTCCCAATTCCAATTCTCAATTTCGTTTTAGAGTTAACGCTCACGTAAATTATAAATTTAATTACTGCACTATTTTATTTTAAAACAATTTTTCAATTTTACACTTTGAATTAAAAGCACTTTATTTTAATTTTATAAATTTCAGTTATTTAAATTATGTTTCAATTTAATTTTAATTGTAGTTAATATTCTACTGCAATTTGATTTTAATTTTTATTATTTTGCATCAATTTATTTTATTTTATTAATCTTTCATCAACCTCGCCATATTTACTATTATTTAAATGATATGTGGTAATATGTACATTCCTATAATTGTGTCCTTGTGATATTTGATACGAATTAACTATACTACATTAGTTTTACAAGTTATTTATTATTTTTTGTGACAAAAATACTCGCCATCAAATGGTGTTGTTGTCGGGACATAATTGTGTTGCGTAATATTGTCTAATATCATTTTCTTTTTTTCTAATTTTCTTTTTCTAACTTTATTTAAAAAAAATAAAAATTAAAAAATAATTATTTTGTTTGTGTGTGTTTCTAACCCTTCTCGTAGGAATTTCTGAATAAGCATTCTTGCAAGAAAATTATTCTCATAGGAAACTCTAAATATTGCTTGGTAATGTGAGAGTGCATGTCTAAGAGGGTTTCAGTTAGGAAAGGCTTGGTACTTAAGTGTATCCATTAGTTACTCAGCTCTCTTTCCTGGGAACCTACCTGGTGTACTTGTTCACTGTCTACTGTTATCGTTCCAATAAACAAGTGATCTTGAGGCTATGAACTTTGAAAGAATACGGTTACCGTTCTAGTAAATAAGTGATCTTGAGGCCATGAACTCTGAAAGAATATTGGAGGAGGTGACATCTTTGGTACAACAATTGACCATGAACCAGCACACATTTAGACAATAATATTTATGTGTGATATGCACCTCCGTAGATCATCTCACTTATGTATGCCGTCAATTCAAAAGACACCAAGCTTAATTAGGGAAATAGTGAATGATATATTCCCTGAACAACACATTATGAGCAGTTAAATTCATGCAATCCACAATAGGAGTACAACCCATACATGACCACAAATAATTCTGGATAGAGAGACCATCCAAACTTGAAATATGGTCCTCTCTTCAACCAGCCACCAAAGATTTCTTTTTAGCCAAGCAACCAAGGTAGACCAATAACTGGAGTATAAGCCTTCCTCACTGAGACAACAGATAAATCCACACCTTGTGCCAATATAACAAGGTACTATGTAACATGGTAACTCTAGGCATGCACTAGAAGATCTGATGAAGCAATTTACACAACAAATGATAACGTAGAACACACACAAAGCACACAACTAAAGTAGCTCGTGACGACCACCTTAAGTGAAGAGGAGCTACCTGAATGTGAATATACAGATGGAAGTTGCTCCATTTGTAAGGAGATTAGTGATAGTATTGACTATTTTATAGGAGCGCAGACAACTGCTAAAGCAAATGAAGCAAGTACACCATATCAGCAATCTGAGGAGTTAGATCTAAAATCACTCACATCTCATTCAAAGTATGCTTACTTGGAGGAGTGTGAAAAGCTACCCGTGATCATATCTAGCGATCTCTTCCCCGATCAAGAAGGAAGGTTATTGAAGGTGTTGAAAAAGCACAAGAAAGCATTTGGTTGGTCCTTAGATGTCCTCATTAGGATCAACCCTACTATTTGCATGCACAAAATCTTGCTAGAAGATGATTGCAGACCTGTGAGGCAGCTCCAATGAAGGATGAATCCTACCATCCTTGATGAGGTGAAAAAGGAGGTGACCAAGCTATTGAAGGCTGACATCATTTGTCCCATCTCAGACAATACTTGGGTATATCCTGTCCAAGTTGTTCCAGAAAAGAGTGAGATAATTGTTGTGCGAAAGGATCACTTTCCCTTTCCATTTATAAATCAAACGGTTAAAAGATTGATAGGTTTTTACGAGAGGATCATTCAAGACTTCAGCAAGGTGACATTGTCTCTTTCCAGCTTACTACAATAGAACACTTTGTTTGTTTTAGCTTAATCGGGTTGCTATTTGATGACCTCAACACCTGTACCATATGAGGAGATAGAGTGGGGACCCAAGCTGTTTTAGCTTGTTTTCATTTGCATTTGCATAACATAAATTCTCCAGATTGAGGATAATGTTGATTCAAAAGTGGGAAGTATTTGCATTTCATGCATGAGGTTTCATTCATATTTATTGTTTTAACTATTGTGTAATGTTGTAGATTGATGAGAGACTACTTTGGAAAAGATGACCGACTTGACCAGGAAGAAGAATTCAAAATTTAAAACGTTTGATTCACATAATAAGTCATGATCGGGTTATATTAACATTTGTTTGGATTAATTTCAGGGTGAAACACCCAGGTGAGTTTTGAGCCTTATTCCTTCTTGTGTGTGTCACTCATGACATGAAAACCTTCTAGAACTTGATTGATTTCTTTATGGCACCTGACGAGCATTTATACTAGTATAAATGATTTAGGCCTTCTTTGTATTAGCTATTTATCCAAATAACCTATCTTTACCTTAAATTATCCTTTGAGCCTTAGTCTTTTCTTGAATTTAAAATAGAGAATTAAAGTTTTTCCAACCTAAAAACCACCCACACCCAGACTAAAAGGGAAGTAAGGAACGTGAAATCATCACAAAAATTCAGTTATACTCATTGCCAACAATTCCAAAAAAAGGAGAAGTGTCAAAGTATCAAGAATAAAAAGAAAATAATAAAAAAAGAAAAAAATCATTTTGTTTGTGTGTTAAAGCAATAAAAGAGCTCGAAAGACACTCTAACATAAAGGTGACAAAACAGAAATATGCAACTGGAACAATGCTTCAAGGTACATGGATTCATTTTCTTTATTTTTCCTAAAGTCTTAACCCACTTTCATAAAATAACCTACCCTGAACCCTAGCCTCATTACAAGCCAAGTAAAAGTCATATTGATCTACGGAGGTACATGTTTTAATGGTGGGAATTTATAAATCTTTTAAGCCTGTGGTAAAGGATGATGTCATGATATGATGAGTAAAATTTTCAGTATAAACACTTGAGATATTAGAATAAACACTTTACTATGAGAGGATGTTCCCTTGAGATGAGTCTTGGAACCATTAAAGAGTACTTGGTCATGATAATACTTTGTGAGTTATGATCTTGATATTTTTTATTCTCTCACTTTTGGTTGATGAAGTTTTTCTTGACCATTGTAGTTTTCAGGATGTCACTAACATTTGCAGCAGTACTCATCTTTACATTATATGCATGCATGCATTCTTTTATTTTCTTTCTTCTTTCTTTTATCTTCTGCTTGGAAGTGCAAAAAAGCAAAGGTGGGAAGTATTTTACTCTTTATTTCTTAATCTAAGAACATTTTCTAAAATAATTATTTTCTTTATAAACCATGCATTTAACATATTTTCATTAAAAGCATATCATAATTCAATTTTTCTTAAATTATTGCATTTTACATAGTTTTAGCATAAAAAGATAATATATATGCATACATCCACAATGCATATTTATTTTTTCTTTTGTAGAAGATAAGTAATTTGAGATAGGCCAAATTGATCGAAATAAAGACCCAAATTGATGCAATCGAGCTTCACTATTTTTGAAATCCCAAGTTTATTTGTGCAACTCATTTGCGAAATGTTACACATGAAAATTTTGAATCAAGCAAATTAATTGGTGTAGAAATCCAATTTAGCTAAATTAAAAGCCACTCGAAAATCAAGAATTAAATGCAAATCAATACTAGATCACACAAAATAGGAAAGAATCATATTATTTCCTTTAAATTAATCCCAAAAATTTCTTGTTATAACAATCCAGTTTTGCAATTTTTAATTTAAAAAATAATTAATTTTATTGTAATTAATTTTAGACTTAATTTTTATTGTTCAGATCCCCTATAAATAGAGGTATGATGAAAACACAATCATAATCTCCTGTTCTGAGACAAACTATTGTTTAGTCTCGTCCTTGTTTTCTTTTTTGTTCTCAAATTTTAGTTAGACGAGTTCATCTAGTGCTAGTGCACTTCTGATTTGTTCTCTTTTATTTAATTTACAATTTCTATTGAATTTTTCAATTTATATTATTCTATTTACTTTATTCATTCAGTGCTCATTTTAATTTCTGCTATTTAATTGTTTAGAATATTTATTTTACTCAAGTACTCGCTTAATTTTTGTATTCATTTCATCTCTTTTCTAATTTTATATCTCAATTTAGTTTGAGTTATCGCATTAAGAAATTTTAAATTTAATTACTGTATTATTTTATTTTAAATTTTTTATTTTACAATTTTAATTAAAAATACTTTATTTTAATTTTATAAAATTCATTTATTTAAATTATGCTTCAATTTAATTTTAATTATAGTTAATACTCTAATGTAATTCAATTTTAATTTTTATTATTTTGTATCAATTTATGTTTTTTTTTTACTTTTTCATTACCTCTCATATATGGATTTAGATAAAATGATGTATAGTAATATGTATATATGTCTTGTAAGATTTGATATAAATTAACTATATTATATTAATTTAACAATTAATTTATTATTTTTTATCAATAGTTTGTGAGGCAAAAGTTCCTTTTTCTAATATTTTTTCAAAATATAACTTTAACATGTTCTTATTTTGTTCGTTATAGCATTGCTTCCACAAATGCTCTTTAATAGCTAAACTTAATGAATTACTCACTTTTGGTATGATATCCGCATAAGTTCTTCTTTATTTATTTTTTAACGGATGATAATTAATGTTTAACGGTAATTTCGTTAAGAAATTTAATAAAAAGAATAACTAAATTGGTTTCATAATTGAAATAGAAAAGTAAATAAAATATTCATAAATTTATTTGAAACATTGTACAAATGTTTGGTAGGTATTTTGTTGGTATGGTTTTGTAGTGTTCGCTGCTGGGTGCTGAAAATGAATAAGAGGAAGAAAATGAGGGAAATCAATGGTGATAATTGAAAAAGAGTAAAATGAGGGAGTGAACGAAAAAAAAATACCTCAGAGAGAAGAAGGGTACCTACAGGATCCAAAACCTAGATAGAGAGATTAAGAGAGAAGAAAGGATTAATTAATGATAATGATAATGATAATTAGAAGATAAGAGGGGAGGAAATGCAGATTGACTGGGATCGGTGACGGCGATGGTGGCAGCGCCACCAAAAGAACAGGAGCCGGGGGCTTTGCCTTTTCTCTGATAGTAACTATCGAAAGCATAGGAAGCATGATTTTGGATGGTGTTTGGGTTGAAGCATGACCCACCGGGCCTGATGGGCCCACAGTCAGCTCCATGTGAACATGCAAAGTCCAGCCCTGATTTGAGTGCCCCATAGGAAGCACTACTGCTTGCCACACACCATGTATTTCCTTCCACACCCCTTGCCACCGTCCATGCCACTACTATGCTCACCAACACCAAACTCACCGCCTTCTTTCCTCCCATCTCTTCCTCACTCTCACTCACTCCATCTCCATCTCTATTTATGCTTTTTCATTTCCTAAAGCTTCCATTCTTTCACTCCATTAATTATGAATGTCTCCAAATTACTTCATAATGTATATTTATCATTTTTAATCTAATAATGAATACATTATCATTCAATGCTTATCAAGTTAAACAAACCTGCTCTTTTAACCCAAGTTAATTAAGAGTAGAAGTGATATAATGAGTGTAAGTTTAAAATTTTATTGTTTAAGTTAAAAAGAATTACAAATAGAAAAGTTTAAATATTCAAGCTTTATTTTCAGATCAATTTTACTCTATCAGAATTTTGAATATAGTAAATTTTTTTTTTCTTAATTTTAGACCATTTTGTATATTTTAGGTTTAGGTTTGCATAAGGTCTTAAGGGGTTTGCATGTAGATTTTATTGTGAAGAGATAAATATTGACTAGTTTAAGAGTATTGTGATATGTTAATTTGCTAATTTGAGTTCTTTTGTAAGCAAAATCTATCTTTTTAAAAATTTAGGAGTTTTTGGGGTTCTTTAACTTGAAGACACTGTATTGTGGTAAAGAAAGTTAATTATTCTTCAATTTTTATAGTACTCTAGGCTAGAAGATCTGGATTGTTAAGGTAACTTGGTCAGATTATTTAAGATTCAGGAATTTGGATTGTGTGTTATGTATGTATTTATTAGTGATGATTGTATTAAATGTGAATATATAATTTATTTATATGAGATTGAAAAAAATAGTCTTTTGTATGAATGTATTCCTCTTATATTGAAATTAGTGAATAGATTTACGATATGGAGGATAATGTTTCAAATTAATTTGATTTGAAACATTAGAAACAGGGTTTTGAGTAGATTTTGCAGGTATGCTATCGTCATGAATCCAGTATAGCGAATTTAAGACAATGTTGAAAGCGCTTAAAATTCATTTAGCACTTTCAAATTCGTCCTACAAATTTTGGACAATATTAGAGGTTCTATTTTGTCAAAATTTCGCTCAATATTTTCATATTTACTCAACAATTTTCAAAACATCATAAAAATTAACTTTGAACTCTAAATTTAATGTTTTATATATGAAAATTGAAGCTCCAAAAATAAGAAATTCAATAAAAAAATAGTTAAAATGGATGTCTACAGAAAAAGTTATTATCAAAAGAATAGATAAATGTCAAATTAAAAAAAAAATTGTTATAATGTGATGGGGATACGACCATGAACAAGGACAAAGGTCCACTTGAAGGATTTGCAGGACATATGACAAATGCTAGAGGAAGAGAAACAAAGATCCATCCTTTCACTATATTAATTGTGAATGTCTCCGAATTACTTTGTAATACATTCTTATTCAATGCTTATCAAGTTAAACCAATATGCTCTTTCAACCCTATTCATTTATTATCAACTAGGAATGGAACACTACAAGAAAAATTCATTTTAGCGACCGAAAAAATCGGTCGCTAATCAGTTAGCGACCGAAAAGCGTCGTCGCAAAAAGCCAAGTCGCTAATGTGTTAGCGACCGATTTTATTTCGGTCGCAAAATAGTGACCAAAATTAATATATCCAATTGGTCGCTAAATCGGTGACAAAGTTAAAAAAATAGCGACTGATTTAGATCGGTCGCTAAATCAATGACAAAGTTAAAAAAATAGCGACCAATTTAAATCGGTCACTAAATCAGTAACAAAGTAAAAAAAATAGCGACCGATTTAAATCGATCGCTAAATCAATAACAAAATTAATTATTTTTATTTATATTTATTATTTATTTACCCTACCTTTTTTTATATTATATTTTTACTTATTTAAGTTTTATTTATATTTATTTCCAAGTAACTCTTAATTATATTATATTTTTTAGAATTGATTAGTTTTTCAAATAATAGATTATAATTGATTAATTTCTCAAATATATATTAAAAAATTATAAATAAAAATATATATTAAATTAAAATTAAAAAAATTATTTATCAATTATATATTATAAAAATTATAACTATATAATTAAAAAAATCATATTTATAATTATAACTTAAAAAAAATTATAACTATAAAATTAATGTTAAATAAATTATATATATTATATAAATTATAATTATATATATATATATATATATATATTTTGCATAAATTAGAATAATAATTATGAACTTGAAAATAATTTATATTTAATATATATATATATATATATATATTCTAAAATATAATTTATTTTAATTTCTATAATATATATATATAAATGAAAATAAGTTATATTTTGGAATATATATTTGATATTATAGCAATTAATATAAATTATATTTTAGAATATATATATATATATATATATATATAAAATTTTACATCAAAATATTATTTCTTCTTATATACATATAATTTTTAAGATTTTTATTATCCTCCTAATTTATTATTAATTTCTAAAAAAATTATAATATCAAATAAATTAAAAAATTAAAAAAGTAATCATACAAATAAATTTAAATTTAATATTTAATAATATATTTAAAAAAAATTATTTTACTACTTGCAACAATAAATCTAAATATATTATTAATTTTAGAAATATACAAATCATTTTAAATACCTAATTTAAAACTATAAATGTTAAATAAAATATTATAACATATTATATATATATATATATATATATATATATATATATATTAGTTAGTTTTTTTCTTAACAAAATAAAAAGAAAACTATTCAGAATTCGATTGTTCGAAAATCGAATTCTAAATTGTTTGAAAAAATTATAAAATACAATTACGTTTAGGTTTCGTATTAGAAAAATCGAATTCTCAACTATACAAAAAAAACTATGCTATCTAGGTAAATAAAACCTATATTATGCTATTTGAGTAATTAAAAAACGAATACGTGCTATCTGTAGAAAAAATTTCGTATATTAGTATAGTATAGTATATTTGTATTATAATTTTTAATTAAACTAAAATTACGCTAATAATGTATAATAATATATGAGTGGATAATAAATTTAATCCAATTACTTTTATAAATATAAAATCTATAAAATATTAAAAATAATATTATATTTTTAAAAACAAATATTAGAAAAAGGATTAAAACATATATAAATTATATTTATATGTCCAAAATATTAAAGATATTCACATTTAAAAAATACAAAAAATATTAATATATTTATATATTAATATATTTATATATTTATATTTTGATATATTTATATATTAATATATTTATATTTTGATATATTTATATATTTATATTTTGATATATTTATGTATTGATATATTGATATATTTATATATTGATATATTGATATATTTATTTATATCCTTATACATTTATATATTTAAAAAAAAAAAAATTTAAATATTAAATTTTAAAAATAATATTAAATTTTAAAAATAATATTATATTTTTAAAAATAAATATTAGAAAAAGATTTAAAAATATATATAAATTATATTTACATGTACAAAATATTAAAGATGTATATTTATATCTTTACATATTTATATTTTTATATTTTATATCTTTATATCTTTACTTATATTTATATCTTTATATCTTTACATATTTATATATTTATATCTTTATATTTTTGCATATATTTATATCTTTATATTTTTACATATATTTATATCTTTCCATATTTATATATTTATATATAAAGATATAAAGATATTAGTTTTGTATACAAATAATATAATGATATATTAGTATAGTATAGTATATTTGTATTCTAATTTTTAATTAAACTAAAAGTACGCTAATAATGTATAATAATATATGATGGGATAATAAATTTAATCCAATTACTTTTATAAATATATAAATATAAAATCTATAAAATATTAATAATGATATTATATTTTTAAAAACAAATATTAGAAAAAGGTTTAAAAACATGTATAAATTATATTTATATGTCCAAAATATTAAAGATATCCACATTTAAAAAATACTAAAAAATATTAAAAGTTATACTTTAAATTAATGAAAATATTTAAAAAAAGTTATATTTATTAAAGTATTAAAAAATATTTTGTAATATATAAGTTAAAAAAATTATCATTAAAATTTTTAAAAATTATTAGTTTTTTAATTTATATACAATGAAAATAATATAATGGTATATTAGTATAATATAGTATATTTGTATTCTAATTTTTAATTAAACTAAAAGTACGCTAATAATGTATAATAATATATGAGGGGATAATAAATTTAATCCAATTACTTTTATAAATATATAAATATAAAATCTATAAAATATTAAGAATGATATTATATTTTTAAAAACAAATATTAGAAAAAGGTTTAAAAACATGTATAAATTATATTTATATGTCCAAAATATTAAAGATATCCACATTTAAAAAAATACTAAAAAATATTAAAAGTTATACTTTAAATTAATGAAAATATTTAAAAAAAGTTATATTTATTAAAGTATTAAAAAATATTTTGTAATATATAAGTTAAAAAAAATTATCATTAAATTTTTTAAAAATTATTAGTTTTTTAATTTATATACAATGAAAATAATATAATGGTATATTAGTATAGTATAGTATATTTGTATTCTAATTTTTAATTAAACTAAAATTACGCTAATAATGTATAATATTTAATCCAATTACATTTATATATATATATATATATATATATATATATATATATATATCCTTTTTTAACTTTTTTTTCTTTTTAAACTTCTCACATTCTACATTGTTTTTAAACTCTATCATTTTTACTATATTATAATAATATATAAAATTTAAAAACTAAACTAAAAAAAGTAAGTTTAAATTTATAAAAAAATACATTACTAAAAGTATCATATTATATTAAGATTTTCATTATTTTCGATAATTATAAATTTAAATGTGTTTCATAAATAAAATTATAAATTTAAATGTATTTCCACTTTTGATCCATCATAAATAAAAATAAATAGTCTCTTATAAATGTTTGTCTATTTTAATCCATCATTAAAT